TTTTACTTTACAACTAAGGGTAGATTATCTCGCAATTGAATGACCACGGGTTTTGTATTGTACAACTGGAGGTAGGTTATCTCAAGGGTAGATGAGCAAGGGTTTTGTACTTTACAGCCAAGGGTAGACTATCTCGAAGTTGAATGAACAACGGTTTTATATAACACGACCAAGGGTAGATTACTTCAAAAGTAGGTGAGCAGGGGTTTTGTACTCTACAACCAAGGGTAGATTATCTCGAAATTGAATGAGCAAGGGTGTGAGTGTGGGTGTGGGTATGGGGTGGGTAAAACGAAGACTTCGACACCCATACCAACACCCACACCCACACCCACACACACCCACACCCACACCCACACCCACACACCCACACCCACACCCACACACACCCACACCCTTTATGGCTCACAGTTCATGAAGTAAATTAGCTATCACAATTACAGTTGCTTTTCTATGATTAATAGCTTGAGTAATATATTTATTGAGGAGTCCGACAATTGCCAAAAGTTGTGTTTTTATTGGACTTTGGCATTAACAAAACTGAACTATCGGCTATTACCAAAGTTCCTTCCTGTTTTAGGCGAAAATTTTACAAAAACACAACTTTTGGCAATTGCCGAAAGTCAAATGCGAAAGTCAGTAGGGCGAAATTCATGCTACCCAGTCTAAATACTGCTGAGCTATACGACCCATCAACAGCAAATTGGACATTTACTGGTAACATGAATAGTAGTCGAACATTCCATACAGCATCTGTATTAACAAATGGAAAAGTTTTAGTCACTGGTGAGCAGGGTAATGAAGACCGTGCTCTGAATACTGCTGAATTGTATGATCCCGCAACAGGAACTTGGACAACTACGGGTAACATGACTACTGAACGATGTGATCACAGAGCATCGGTATTACCAAATGGAAAAGTGTTAGTTGCTGGTGGATCTTATAAAAAAAACTGCTGAGTTTTATGATCCATTGACAGGAACTTGGATACTTACCGGTAACATGACTTTTGGACGATATGAATCTACTGCATCTGTATTACCAAATGGGAAAGTATTAGTTGCTGGTGGCTATTTTTATAATACTACTCTAAATAGTGCTGAGTTATATGAATTATTATGAACAGATTAGCAATAAACTGCTATTTTGCTTATTGATGCATCTAAACTCGACTTCAAATAGTATTCTAATAACAGGATTGTCTTATTTTTATTAGTGATGTTGTGTTTCCTTTGAAGTTTTGTGAAATTGTTGTGTATTGGAAAAACTGTGTTTAATGTTTGTCGTTGTATTGGTATGTGTTAGTTTATTGTAGTGGGAAAATTTCAATTATCGTAATGATTTTCAAGTACTTCATTTAATTTTCAATTGAGTTTTTTTCAGAAAAGACGTAGGTTGTCAATGTTCTTGGTATTACACAGGTTCTCTCTCTCTTTCAAAAGTAGATCGCATTTGTTCGTCTGCAATACAAATTAAAATATGTTAATGACATATTAATATTCCAAACATCAATTAATGTATTCATGATAAGACGAAACTATTTGGAAATGTTATTGTGATGGATGATTGTATGAATAAAGAGCTGAGTTTTTTTTATTGTACTTCAGTTTCAGACAAATCAGTGTCATGTGTATGTCGAATATTGGATCTAAAGATTTTGTATCTTCATTCGTCATTAGAGAACAAGCGAATGAAGAGTAAAGCTCGTATAAATAAGAATGTCTTTGGTATATTGTGCCGCAGTTTTCGTTCGGGAGTAATGAAATATTTTTTGAAAGTTCAAAAAATTATTTTCGATAGAAAGTTTTTTCGGTATATTTTTGTATTTTCATTAAATGGTCAATATTTTTTCGTGAATGAGCAGTAAATTAATACTGTGTTCTGTATTAAAATAAAAACATCAATAGTTAATTCAGTTTAATCAACTATTTATCTTTTCTTTATTTAGTTGCATATCAAAAGGTAGAATAATGACGAAGAATGATTCAACATAAAATGAGAAGGCATAGCAGATTGAAAGCAATTAAGCACATCTTTTTTTCTAATTGATAAAAACAATATATACATGTATTCATTCTTGCCTATTTTCGTTTGTATTGTATTCGTAAACAATGAAATATGACTAAAAAAAATCGATAGAGGTTCAATCGAAATATTCCATTGTTTTGATTAAATATTTATTTTGTTATCATGTTTCATTTGTAGATGATGAAATATAGGATAACAGAAAACTTAATTGGAGTTTTATTGACATATTTATTCTTTTATTTTTCAAAAAAGCTTTTTCCCAATGAGTAAAATATAGGAGTTGAATATTATCTATTCATTATCAAATGATCGAGAAGTATGAATCCTTTTATTATTCATTTTAAAAAATTAACAAACTCTAGTTTTTGTTCAACTGTATCTTCTACCCTAGTAAATGTACTCATCAAGAGAGTACTCAAGGGTTTCGAGCACTTATTAGTAGTACTCGTACTAGAATCTGAGTAGGATAATCTAGTACTCGCCGTGTAAAATAGAGTGTTTCACGAGTACTCATGGTACAGTTTTTGTGCACTCCAGTTGTTTTTTTATAAAATACTCATAGGTCTATATCCTGTTCAGTATTGTTATACTATATCCAATTTATATAATTATAGCATTCATTATATATTACAGGTATATTACGAAACTTTGAGAAGTGAAGATGTTACACTATGTTTATATTTTTTTTAAAAGAGTTTAGAGACTAACTTTTCATCTTGAGAAAGTGACCAAACAGAAACTGAAAACATGTATGAATAACAACATAAAATCAGTACAGAGAAATGAGTAAAAAATTATTCATACACCTAAGATATGCTTTAACACTAAGCGCATAGTATAGATCATTATGAAAAAAAAATAACAGACATTTTTAACCGACAACTAGATTTCATTTAGTAATATATAAAAAATGAATAATAAGTAAATAAAGTGTCTTTAGTATGATATATTTCTGTCACAAAATCTTTCTGAAGGTCTCCTACACGATTGCAAAAACTTTAACAAAACTGCAAGGTGAAAAAGCTGATAGTGTTGTATTATTTGAATAATTTACACTAAAACTGGAACATTCATTTAAAATCGTAGTAATAAGTATTCGAGGTGTCCTGTGATAATCTCATGTGTTGATATTGCGAAATATATTACAAGATTATTTTATTCAGTTCATATAAGGCTTTCATTCGTGTTAAAGACGTTTTAACAGCTGAACATATTGGAACTATTAACGCGAGATTGACTGAGACCGAGGAGTTCAGTCTCGTTACATCCCCTACCGGGATCAGAACAAGAAAAAAGTGTCGGATGCCTACTCCCAATACTATTTAGATTTATGATAAGTATTTCATAACTTGTTTTTTTTACTTGAGGGTGTCATGAATTTTATATAATTATTTTGATAAAATCATGTTCACCTTCATGTTAAGATGTTTCATTGATGTATGTTATGCTTATTCTTTAAACTACAGATAAGTAACAATAAAATTTTTCATGATCGATGCATAGCAAAAATATTTTCCTTTTTGTTAAATCTAGTTTAATCTAATTAGTTAGCATGATTGAAGCATATTTAACTTTTTCCTACAATTTGCTTTTATTGAAAGAATTTTTAACAAGATTAATATTTACAATACAGGAAAATATTCGTGAAAATTTTTTGGACGAACAAATGGTTCATGTATTTCAAGGTATTTCAATTTACCACAAGTTAGACGTGCTTCATCATTAGTAAAATTATTAGTAACCATTCTGAGTGATTCATATCGAATCCTAAGATACAGTAAACGAGGTAAATGAATGTTCTTATCGAAGAGGAATTGTTCAGCATAATCAATATGAGCATCAATCAGATCCAGAATAACAAGATGACGAAATATAATCAATGTTGATGATTTTTGCTTCTCTTTTTGTGGTTTATTATTGGTTATATGTAACTCTTTCAAAAAACAAAAATCTTCAGAGATAATTTTGAAGAAGTTATGTTCGAAAGGATGTAAGTCCATCATCATTAAGTATTGAACTTTATCAAATATGCCACTTTTAAAATAATTGTTTAGATAAAAAAAATGTTCGAATTGATATGGAAGTGAATAGATATGACATCTACTTATTCCTCTTTCTATTAGAATAGGTTGAATATATGAACCAATTGGGCCATATCCTCTTTGCATGAAACTATTTTGAATATCTTCATTAGATGGAAGATCGATTCTAATATCTTTGTTGTACACAGATGCTTCTATACAGAAATAAAATTTCTTTAATCGTGGCATATAAATAAGAATATCATCATATAATTGAACACCATTAACATAAGTCGAGTTAATTCTTAATATTGACAAATATAATTTCAATTCTTCAAGATTTATCATTCGACGAAGTAATGGAACAACAAAATTATCATATTTATCTGTGCGATTAAACGAGATTAATGAAAAATGTTTTAATTTCAGAAGTTTTTTCTATAAAAAGAATAAAATTTGGTATATCTGTGCATTTAATTAACTATCGTCTTTAAAAAATAAAAAATAAAAATTATACTAACTGTATTATCTATAGTTGATGATGCAATTGAAATATCTTCAACATGAATAATCAATGTCGATAAACACTGGAGACGTCCATCAAGAAGACAAAGACAATCATTAAAAGTTTCAACATTAATAATCAATGTTCTTAAAGTTGAAGACATACAACTTGTTAATGATAAGTTATAAATCTCAATAGATAAACATCTATAGTTGGACAATTGACAAAAGTTTAAATGGTTCAAACGTTTACATATGGATAAAATCGAAACAAATATATTCGATAGAGTTTTAGATAATGGTGGTGATATTAATTTAATATGAATATCAATGGTAAGATCAGTAATTTGTTCAGCAAGAAGATTACGAAGAATTGTATCACCTTCTATTCAAAAGTAAAATTGCTAATTTATATCTAATAATCTGATTATTTGAATACCTGTTAAATATTGAAGAAGCATTTCTTCTTGAAAATCAACAAGTGATAATGAATAAAGTTGAGAATAATTGAAAGAATAAAGAATACGTTCCATTGAATTTGGTTCAAGAGTAAGTTTATTTACGTGATGACGAATTCGAGGTAAAACATCCTCACAAATTCTATCAAGAATTTGATTGTCTATTGACAAGCTATGACGAAATATTAATTTGGTAGTTATGATTGTCATATCAAGATTATAGATATAAAGAGGATTGAATATCAATCGATTAAATCGTTCATTAATATCTACAAGTGAATAAAGAACATCAACCATATTGAGTTTATTGAAAATAATCAGTAAAATTTCATTAGGTAAATCCAATATATTGAGACGACTGTTATTTGACATGTTTAAGTCTAATGCGTACAGTTTATTTGTTTTAATTTATATATCTCTATATTTTCTTATTGTCGTCTGGGAGAACAATGAAAGAAACATTTATTTTTTCATATTAGGTTATAATGAATAGACTACGCCATTTTTCTTTTTGTCGGCCATTTGTTTTTATTCATTGACGATACATCCGTCAGGTCAATTGGGCTGTGTGGGTGTGGGTGTGGGTGTGTGGGTATGGGGTATGGGGTGTGGGGTGAGGGGTGAGGGTGGGTGTGAGTATCGATATAGTTGTTGATTTAACTCACACGCATACCCACATTCCACATCCACCCACCCTTATTTTCAAAATATTGAATATCCATCATGATTTGATGTTCCTCCTCTTGTTTATGATCCAACATTAAGTCGTTATACTTCAAATACTTCAATTTCAATGATAATTGAAGAGATGATGATTGAAAAATGGAATCCATCATATTCATATAATCAGTTTTATAAATTGTGTGCGCCAACTTATTGCACTTATTCTCAGAGGATTCGCGCAAATACTATTATTGAAGTAATAATAATATTAGTATCCATGATTCGTGGTCTTACTATCTCATTACGTTTAATTATACCTTGGTTCATCAAATTTATGTATTACTTATTCTTAAAGTTCATTAGAGAAAGACAACAAAAACAAGAACAATCAGGTAATCATTGGTTAGATAATTATAAGAAATCTCTAGATAGATTATTTTTAGAAAGAGAACTATAATCTTCTAGAGATCGTTGTCAGTTAACGAGTCTTTGAGATAAAATTCTCAATTTAATACAAAAAGAAATTTTTGAATTCGATGAGAAATTCTCTAGTGTAATCAGTCTAAAGATTGTATTTGTCTTGTGATAAAAATAAAAAAAAAAGATATTTCATTCCTATTCATAGTTCATCTCAGTAGATTCAATAAATTTAAGATGATTATTAGAAATTTGGTCTTGCGGTTTTATACCAGTGCAGCCAATCTAAATATATTTCCATTACGATATTTTGGAAGTAATGTTGATCGAAGGATAGCCAAATATCTTGGAAAGTTGGCAACACGTCTTTATATTATTTTGTTTATAATTAGTCTTGCTATTCTCACATTATATAATATTGTTCGACCTCAAATTATAACAAAAATTTTTGATAAACCATCTTTTTATTTGTGCAATAAACTTTAAAAAAAATATCTAGATAAATTAAAATGTTCATGTTCAGTAATTGCATCAAAATACAAACAATTTGTTCAAATTGAAGCAGAGTTTCATCAAGTAAGAGCAAATTTTATATTGATTATTATAGTTTTATTTAATTAATTATAGATTTGTACAAGCTCATTTACTTCGGATCAATGGCGAATCAATATAACAACTGGTCTTGTTCCTAATCTTACTGTTTATGAACAGAGAGATTATCGTCGTTTTCTTTCTGCTCATTTACAATATTTTCAAGGATTATGTCTATTTTCCATTCAATCAGTGAACAATTCAATTGAACAATTTCTGACGTCACTTTTCATTACTTCAGAAGTTTTATCAGAAAAAGATTTTCATGCACGTTTTCATTTATTGATCGAACAGAGTAAATCAAGTGCACCGAAAACATCCGCTCATCTTTTCTTTTTAATTAGGAGTATCAATCATGGAAATGCTATGGTATCGACTTATGGAACAAATTTTGAATATATTTCGACTTGGTTTTGGAACAATGACTACTATCCTTATATATCTAATCAAGCAATAATCTATGATAATAATTGTTCTTGTGGATTATATCCAAATTGTACTACTCAAGCAAATTTTATTGAAAGAAATTCTTCTAGAATTTCAATAAAAGGCTTGAAAATAGGTTGTACACCAAGTGAATCATTACGTTCTTCAACTCTTGAATGTTTCTATGATCAATCATGTATTAATCAAATTCAACGATATACCAGTTCAACAAATAAAATTATTCCTCTTGAGATAAATATGAGTCGATTCTCAATCAATACTACTGTAGCTGAACTTATCAATGATTTATTTGTTGAACAATGGGCAACAGCACTAAATTATTCATCCTATTATAAACAATGTTTACCTTTATTATGTTCATGTACTTACATTCAAAAATTCAACATACTCTATATAATAACGATTTCACTTGGTCTTCAAGGTGGTTTGACAATTGTTCTTCAATGGATTTCTCCCAAATTAGTTCGAATTATAGCAAAACTATATAAAAATCGAAAGAAACGATTAAATATTATTGAACCATCATGTTCTTTTAATATGATAACTATTGAAATTGATAACATAAATGTTAACAATTCTCTTTCGAATGACGAGACATTGCTGACAACTATTTTATCTAAGTATAGATTTTTTATTATTATCTTATATATTATCTATAGTTGTTTTCTTTAGAACAACGTTGCACTCACCACATCGATGGTATTTAAAGATTGTTTTAACATCTTTTATATTATTGTTTATAATAATGGCTCTCATACAATTTTCCATTCACCTTGCTCAACTGGAAAAGAATAAAGTTATTCTAACAAGTATGACATATTTACAATTTCTCTCTCTCATTACTTTGACGAATATTTATATAGAAATTCTGATAAAACACATTTATCAATCTATAAATTATTCTATAGATTGAATTTTACTTTTTATTATTAGCATTATCGACAACAATGACAGTCAATATTATCAAAAATATAACAAAACCAAGTACGACGACAACAACAACTACGATAATAACTAGACAGTGTGAGCATATTAATATCAATTCTATTTTCTTCTATCATTAAATAATAAAAAATTGTTCAGATCAATCTAACATTATCTGAGCCCATCCATATTCCTTTTCAGATCTTTTTATTCTTTAATAAAAACTAATGATTATTTCCTTTTTATTAGTACCAAATTGTCAATTACAGTTCCAAGCAACAACTAGATATAGAAGTGGTTCGACTGCTGGTCTTAGATCACCCGTTATCGGTGATTTTAATGGTGACAGTCTACTCGATGTTGCCTTTTTCAATTACTATACCAATAGTATGCATGTATTGATTGGAGATGGTAAAGGAAATTATACTGCAGAGATGAAGACTTTGGTAGGATCATTCAACAGTTGGTTTTTTATTATTACTACGGCTGATTTTAATAAAGACAATAAACTTGATCTTGCTTTTACCAGTGAAAATAAGGCCTATGTCTATCTGCTATTCGGACATGATAATGGAACATTTCGACCAGTAGTATCAATCTTCTTGGGAAACAAAACTAATGTGAGAGGAATTGTTGTTTTTGATTTCAATGGTGACAATCATTTAGATATTGCTGTCGTCCATCCATCGAATAGTATTATTATTGTATTATTAGGAAATAATAATGGATCTTTTTCAACACGGACGACATATTATACAGGACGTAATGGAAATCCATCGTCAGTTGCCATCACTGACTTTAATGGTGATGGTTACCAAGACATTGTTTATAATAATATTATGTCCAGAAATATTGGCATTTTATTTGGACGTAGTAATGGAACCTTTGAACAACAAAAGACATCTTTCACTGATGGGTTTTATTATTCATCTTTTATTGCTATTGGCAATTTCAATAGTGATAATCGATCAGATGTCGTTGTCTCGTATAATTCTGGAAATAGTTTAGGTGTTCTTTTAGGCTATGGTAATGGAACTATGGGTCCAGTAGCCCAGTTCCCAGTGGGAAATAGAACAAATTACCCAAGAATTGCTGTTGGTGATTTTAACAATGATGGTCATTCGGACATTGTTGTTAATTCCATCTTACGCTCCGTTATATATATTCTAGTTGGATATGGAGATGGAAACTTTGAAGTGCAAATGATATTTTCTACAGGATTCGTTGGTACTTATACTTGGGTTGATGTTGCTGATTTTAATAATGATGGTTGTCAAGATATACTCGCTTCGGATGATACAAGAGGTGCTGTATTTATTCTTTTGAATATCTGTCAATGTCAATTAAATCAAACCGTCGAGACAAGCACCTCGATACATCCTTGAGTTTTTTTTTCGTGAACCTCTTAAGTTACAAATATTTTTCTTGGATGTTTTGCTACAATCATTTGGCTTTTCTCATTGTATCAAATTTGAAATCCAATAACACATTTTAATAGTATATGGCGTAATGAATTCTCTAGCATGTTGTCACGCTTACATTCTTATTCTACTTGTCTTGTCGTTTACTTCTTTACTATAGATTTTATTTTAATCACGTATTTATCAATAATTTTAAACTTCAATGTAATCATTATACTGATTATGAATCTTTGAATAAAATATTGAACTAAAACATCTGATAATGAGGATGGCTAAACAAAGTTCTAACATTTCTTCTCTTGAGGATGAGTATCCATAGTGAGCTGCTACGATTCGAATTTCGCCTTTTGCTTCTCGAAAAGACTCGTCAGGTAGTTTTGCTACAATTTATTCAAAATTTAAGAACAACAAAAGGTCAAGTTGATATTCTATCTTTCAAACTTACAATAAATAGAAGCAAAAATATCTCAAATACTTCAAGATGATCTATTGGATTTCAGTTAAAATAGGCATAACAATGTGTAGCTGTTGAAGGTGAGGGCGTAATCAAAGGCTTGGAGTGATGTCTATTACTATATACAATAGATCTAATTCAAGGATGACTCATTCTCGACGTCATAAAAAAATCTTGATGCTTGATTAAAGATATCGTTCTCAAATATCTCCTATTTATGACATGTATCTATCGTAGTTGTCGATTTTGAGGGTGTGAGTCAGGTTTAGAATTAACAGTAATAAAATTAATTAATCCTAAATCAAAAGAAAATATTCGATCAAATTAAATTTCGAGCAACTGAGGCCGTACAAATAGGAAGAGATGAAAATAAACAAACAGTGAATTTGAGAATTGATAAAAAATAAAAATAAAAAGTTTAAGTTCATAGAAATATCTTCCTGTAGTAAGTGTTAATTCATGTCAAAGACAGATTTTCTCATATCAATATGAGTTGATTCGATGTCTTGTTATCTACATTTGTCGAGTCATCATCGGTTTGTTTTGATGCATCTGCAGTTGTGATAGTGTCTATCTTCATTTTCTTGTTAGCAGAACGATCGTTGCCGTTATCCTCGTTGCTTCTTGATTCAAAAATAAATGTGGAAACCTCGGATTTAAATCCGAGAGTTATGTGTACTTCAAAAAGTGAATGAGACAGATGAGTCAGCCTAGAATGTGTGAACATCAAAATTATCCTGACAAACCCTTTCTGTAAACACTTAATTTCTATTGGCTATTGCTCAGCCAATACGATTTGGAGGCAAATACAGCTCAGATTTGAACTCTTCACCTTGATTTACCCTAAGAAACTCGTTTTTCCTATAACTTGATTTCTATTGGTCACTGCTCAACCAATGGGATTTCGAGGCGAATGGAACATGGATTCGAGTTCTCCATTCTAGAAAACCTCGAACTATCATCTCTGTGATGGGAAGATAGAGCTCTAATTGTGGATCACATAGAGCGTAGACAAAAACAGAACCGAATTCCGATTAATTAACTTTGCAATAGGCGAGTTAGCTTTCTTGTTTCTTTATGTTTTATATACCATTTTGTAGCTCGTGAAATTCTCTATCGAATGATATATAATAGTTGGGGTTTTATATGACTATGATAGGAAAAGTTTTTTATGAAAACAGAGAAGGGTCTATCTTCTCATAGGGAAAAATGACTATTTTTGCAATAACTCAGCAATGGTTCGGCCAATCATTCTCATCTTCGAACTCGACCGAGACATTGTTAAGACTGAACTGTGTAGAAAATTTCATCGCGATTGGACTCTCCTTTCAAAAGTTATCGTGTTAACGGCCGGACGGACGGACATACTGACCGATTCTAGAGTGTACTCACTTTTTGAGTACACAAAAAAGAACTTTCTTTATAATCTGCATCTTCCAATACTTTAATTATTTGATCGATGAAATCGCAGTCAACCACAAGAGAAAAATCTTTTTCATGAAAGAATATATGATGTTGATGCAATACTATTTGTTAATGATTTTTTTCTGAAAAATTAGATGATGATATTCTTTAAATAGAAAACTACAATAATAGGAGAAACTAAATAAATCTAAATAAAAACTGAATAATGACATCAAAATAGGACCAAATAGATATTATTTTATGGATGTGGAAATCTAGAAGAGAAAAAATATAATTTAGATTGTTGGCTAATTAATATGATGGATATGATGTAGTGATTAATTTCCGTATTTGATTAACTCTTTGAAGATGGGATTACTTTGAAAACAATCAGATTTCCGAAACACCAAAATGATGTATGTATTAGAAAGGAGATCGATGGGAACATAATACACATCCTCTTATCACACTACATCAGAGGTGACAGATCTATGACCTTCACCAGCATGTAGGTCATGTTATGCGTTTTTTCAATTCAAGTGAAATTACAAATTTATCAGTCGTCTATTTTTTTTTTTGAACTTTTCACCATTTTCCGCAAAAAAAAATATTTTCAATGTCGAAACACGTCGTTTTTTTTATTCTAATATTACCGTTGGATGGAGCAAACAAAGTTGTCTATCATAGATAAGTTTTGCAAAAGTTTGCCTTTCTAAAGGATTTCTTTTGAATGAAACTTTTGTCATAAAGATGTTTGTCTATTGACAAACGTTATCTAAGAAGAAAAAGAAAGCAAAAGAAAATGGCGCACGATTGTACTTGAGAAAGAGAAATCCACTTAAAATTTCTTTCGATATAAAACTATATGCTGATACGAGAGCTCAGAATGAGATGAATCGACGACGGTGCACTGGAATTTCCGCACGATTTCTATTAGCAATCTTATTACTTGATCGACTATTGAACGTCAGCGTCTACAAGAGTTCACCATTATTAACATTGGTGAGTGCGCATCCACATTCGTTTTAGCATAAAGTATAATTTCTGCAGTTCAAACACTCGAAACCTTATGTCTCAGACCTAAGGATTGGAGATAAAGAAACTATGCAAAACAGATACAAGATGCAATAAATATCAAATGAATGAATCATGTATAATAATAAATCTATCGTTTTATACACTTTCATCTTTTGTACCTTAGGATGTACGGAAGGCGTGGGTGTGCATGGAGAGAACACAACATCCACACGTACACATTCTACGATAAGACTCAGTTTATTTAGACAAAGGCTCTTATTTTCGAAATATGTGAAAGTAATACCCATAATCAGCATGAAATTTCGCATCGAATGATGTACTTATTACAATAAACGGAAACATAAAAGTTGTCAACCTATTCTTGAACGAAAGCTAAGATGGTGTCAGATAAAAACAAATTGACTAGACGGATTTCACAAAAACTAAATTGTACTTAATATTTTTGAAGTTGATTTGCTATGTCTGGATGTTTTTAATTCAAATTCTATTCAATATATTAATGAAAATTTCAACAATATCAACTTATAATTGTTAACTTTAAAAAGGGTGTGGGTGGTGGTGTGGTGGTGTGGTGGTGTGGGCGTGCATGTGGGTGTAGGGATGAATTTGGAGAACATCCACACCAGGCATCCAGACTCAGACCCACACCCAGACGCCACACCCACACCCACACCCACCCTCAACACATCTTTATTTTAATGTGATGTTTTTGTGTTCAAGGTGTTTTTTCTCTTCCTTTTTTTGTTTGCTTGCATTAGATTAAAAGTAAAAAAGCACGGTTTTTTCCAACTTTCCAATATAAATGTGAAGTGCATTACTCACACCTTTACTTAACCAATAGGCTCTTTGTCTCAAAACAATTATTAATGGCTGGTTTGCATACAGATGCTTCAATATTAGCTGTTGTTCCAGATGCGCAAAAAGACACTGAGCCGTCTAGCAAATTAGTTTCAAATGTATCCAAGACTAAAACAAAATTCCACAGCGAACCATGTTCATTGCTAAAAGTGCACTCCAATGTTTGAAAAGTCCTAGAAAAATATGTCAAAAATTAGGTAACAAACAAGGAATTCATTCTCCTACAACTATGAACTTAGCCGGATTCCAGTATACAAATAATGGAGATGCCGCTCATTGCCACGCATGTGGTCTCGAAGTATCAGGATGGACATTCAATATGGAACCATTTGCTATTCATGTAAACTGAGGTTCAACTTGCCCATTCTTTCTATCACGGTTAACTTCTCAGAACATAACTAAAGATTCAACAGGCAAGTTCATGCCAACTACGTCCGTGTCAAACAATGCAAGGTAACCACCTCAAATACCACAAGTCGATACAGATACTCTTAACAAACATTTGAACGTACTTATTGAAGTAGACAATATTAAACCAGTGAGAAAACGTACATTTTCACATTGGTCACATCGATCAGCATTTTCCAGGTCACAAATGATCGAAGCTGGCTTTTTTAGTTGTAATGTTGGTGATCGTGTCATATGTATTTATTGCAATATCATTTGTCAACAATGGACTCCAAATAGTGACAACCCATGTGAAATACATAAAATACTCTCACCCAAATGTCCTTATGTTATTGCTATATTGACTCATTCTCAAACGTCATCCATTTTGGTCATTAATGAATATGGTCGCACTGATCAATCATTAGCCTCAACTAGCATCGATCCATTTCGATGTAATGCACTTGTTTATACTGTAGCCTGCAATACAGGATATATTGAAATACCAAACCGATATGCATCTTTTACCACTTGGCCGAATGAAAATTTACCATGTGTTGATGATCTAGTCAGAGCTGGATTCTTTTATACTGGCAATAAAACTATTATGACTTGTTTTTATTGCAATGGTTCTCTAAAAAACTGGAATCCCAATGATAATCCAACGATAGAACATGCCAGTTGGTTTCCACATTGTGCATATGTTAAACAATTGTGTGGGTCTGAATTGTATCAAAAGATTCAAGAATCAAAACAAATCCAACAAGGTTTTTTGTTTGCATATTCCAACAAGCGTAAATGATGTATCTGTTGTTTTTTCGTC